TAGAAATCCTGCATATAGGACCTTAACGTTCATGTAATCAGTGCATATAGAAATCATGCCTATAGGGAATGCATATGCATTAGGCAAACCGTAGCGTAAGTAAATAATTACCTCTTATTACCAGTTCTTAACAGACCTTTTTTAATCAGATATAGATATCATAGGATTCCGCATCAAGTTCGTCTGATTCTTCTTAAGTAATAACAATCTGTTAACTGGTCTCTAATGTCTTAATGTTTTCAGCCTCAATCTTTTGACGAAAACTCTTTTGAATCAGTATACATTTGAGTTTTTCAAATCAGCACCTCTTCTGAAATGGTTTCTTTCTAAAATTCTGCTTAAACATTTTCCAATTAAGTTTTGGTCTTCCTGAAATTGTCTTTAGAACAGTTCTACAGTTTACTCTTTCCTTAAGTAATTCTAACTCTGGAACTCCTTTTATGGTTTATACTCATGATTCTCTTAAAACTTATTTCTAAACTGACTGCAGTCTGTACTTTCCGGCATTAGACTACTTTTCTAGAACCAGTACTTTCTAAATCACTCGCTTAAAATACCTTAAGGTCTGACAATTGGATCCAAGTTGCCTGATGTGGGCTTCCCGTCTAAACGTATGTATCGAACCAGTCCGCTCGCTGCTTAATTTTTAATTTTAAAGACCATAACCAGTACGTGTAAAGGCATGCTAAACTAGATGTTATCTGATTTACGGGGTTTATGTGAGCCTTACCTGTTTGTCTGTTCATTCCCTCTACTTGTTACTTGTTTTTGAATGTCGATTAGAATTTTTGTCCTTTGAACTCCATAAAGGCCCCATCCCTTTCTTCCCCTTTTAGGATTAGAAGTCCTAATGCCCCGGGACTGATAGCTTGGGACGGGTAATAGCATGCAATAGGCAAACGATACCATTCCGCGCTCCAATACCTTAACGGGGTGGGAAAGGGTAGACATGGAGATGATGATTACACGTTAACACTATGCGTACAATTGAGTACCAGTGCTATGCGAATGATCCATGTAATATATAAACCTAGGACCCCCCTCCCTCTTTATTAGTTTAACAATTTTCTGAATCTTAAAAAGCTGTTGCACTTTCGACTTCTGTTTTTCACATAATTTTCAGATTGTTCGCACTAAGTACTTGACTTCTTCCTACTTGCACTTTTAACTAAACCGCTCCTTCCCTAAAATTCAGCACTTTTTCTTAACCTTTTGTGCTCCTTATTTGTAATAATTTTCTCGTATTTGCAATGTTTGCTTGTTCACTTGTTTGTTTGCATTCAAAGTCACAATTGTAGCATGGCCGGGAACCACACTAGTGGATCTTGAGGGGTGCCTAACACCTTCCCCTCGAGATAATTTCTAGCCCTTACCCAAACTCTGGTTCTTCATCTCAAATTCTTCCTTAAAGTGTCCTAATGCACTATAATCATTAGGTGCCGACTCTTCAAACTCCAAAAACCCAATTCTCGCAAGGGAATAGAGTTGTCCTCCCGAATGTCGTGAACCCGATTCCGCGAGGAAAAAGGGGGCGTCGACATTCACCCCCCCCCCCTGCACTTTCAAAGTTCTCCTTTTTATTAGTCTTGCAAGATAATTAAATTGACAAATTAAAAGACCATTCAAGAAAAATTCAAAAATCATTTATACTATATAACAAGTCTGTTTTTGTTTTTGTGTTTATTTTTATTTTTTTATATACGTAATCTTATGCGATTATGGCGCATATATTTATGAACCAATCCTAACATCTACTCCAAAATATTGTCTTTACTATTCTGTAAAATTTATTTATTCTAGTACAGCCCAAATATTCGGAAAACACATGAGCTAACAAACAGTTATTATAGCAAAGGAACACCCATTCAAAATATATGGCAAATTCACATGAGGTTCATTTGAATCTCAATAGAAACACACAAACCGTTTTAGTAACTGTAATTTGCTTCATCAGAAAGCTAATTAATAATCATATTCAAAAAAATTCCCAGAGATGGCTGCAGCAACTGCAGCCGTGAAACTAGGGTTCGTGGTCAAGGAATGCGCCATTTGTGCGACTAAATCTTGCTGCAGTGAAGTTGTGTCTATGTCTTCCATGAATTTGTTCAGATATGTTGTAACATTTTGGTTAATTAATGGCACTGTAACTTGAGCTTGGGATGGAAGAGGATGGTTGTGCTCCCCCTCATATGTAGCTACTAAAACTGATGGATCTTCAACACTTCTTTGCACCTACACATTGAGTTTCATTCATTTAATTTAGAGCAAAAACAAACTAATAGAGTAATATTATATATATGATTTCTCAAGTCTAAGTGTAAGTATAGGTAAAGGGTAATTAGATACTAACATGCACTCAGGTTTACATCAAATCATACTTATAATAATACGTACATTTCTTTAACCATGGTCAAATGATAAATGGTTTTATGAAAAGATCTTATAATGTCTTCCCTTTACTGATTTGGTGTAACGACACTGAGTGTAGATAAATTTTTACTTATGAAGATTGACTACCAGAGTAGTCGTTGACACATAATTTTCTTTTACGCAGTTAATTAGTCAAATTAAGAAGATTGGTTGCCTGAACTGACCTTCTTCTTGACTGGGCATGATGGCGCAAAAGAACACTTATAGTAGGCTCTAGGTGAAGGATTATCTCTTGTCACTTTTTGACCATACTTTCTCCAGTGATATCCATCTTTAACCACCTGAAAATACCAAGAAAAAAAATTAATAAGATATTACAAGAGTTTATACTTGAAATTTGTTAATAAAATCAGACTTACTGCACTTTGATCGGAGGGAGTAGTTTTTACACAAACAGTTGATACATTGGTTCTGATTTCCCTTGGCCTCTTAGGTGATGCTTCTTCTGAATTAGCACAACAGTAGTGATCATCTTCAGCCTTTCTTTTTCTTGATAATAATTTGGAATTGTCCTCCACCGAGTTGTGCTTTTGCAGCAATTCAATTAGGTGAGTATGCATGGATTTGTAGTTCTCACACAAAGTTGTTAGCATTGTTGTTAGCTTCTTATTCTCCTCTTTCATCCTAATCAACTCTTCATCCAACATCTCATGCTGCATATATCAAATTCGTTTATTATGATAATAATAAGCAAATAAATAAAAATATTTGTTTTGACGAAAGAAGAGAATCTACCAACCGGAATTCTATTGATGGTCTGTAGTGAAGGGTTTGTGTTAAGGTCAATAGTAAAAGACTTGTCCCCAGAACTTGTATCCATTGAATCCAAGTTTTCTTTCTTCTTTATTTATCTTCGTTGATTGGTTTTTTGGATGAAAGGAATGAAAAGATTATTTGGGTAAGATGGGCTTTTTATAAGGGAGAAAGTGGAAGTAGTTAAATACAATTCATGTTTTGAAATGGAAGAGAAAGTGCCAGGAAATTGAGTGTCTATAAAAGATAGTAATGCTAATTGCCTATTCAAACACTTCACTATCGGAGTGGCCATATAGAAAGACTTGGTGAAAATGAAGTACTACTTTCAAGAAAGTGTGTATTCAAGTCTTGGTCAATTTTCAATTTAATTGCTCAACAATTGTTTGAATACTACTGCAGGAATTTTTTTTTTAATTAATAATCCCTTTTAACACTTAATTCCAAGATTAATCGTATTTTATATCTTTGAGCTGGGGCTCTCCTTTTCAATTTTGGACACTATGTTGTCGAGTTATTCAGTTTGTCACCTTTTTTATCACTTAAATTAAAAAAAAAAAAGTCGAGCTTGTCATTCTTTGGCCACAAATTCCTAACATTATTTTCCTAACAAATAATTTTAACTCCTCAAGTATGTCACCGGTAACATGTTTTAGACAATTTTTAATCTGCTAGATTCCTGATTTACTACGTCCTAATTAGAGAGAAATTTCTTAATTTTTATTCCGTGATGTATTTAATTAGCTAATTGTGTTTCAGAAGATGAATGATATCATTCAAAAAGACCGAATATGCATAAATGTAAAAGTTGGAGGAATTCAAGAATACCGTTCAATTATCTGATCGTTACACTAGAAAGATGCAAGCAAATGTATGAATGATAATTATGAAAGGTTTGTGTGGGAATGTAAGGAAATTAATTCATAGCCGAAATCTTGAGTTTGAAAGAGCCAACTCAATTTTTGTCATTAACTTTGATAACATGATTTCTTAGAGTTTTCCCAAAAATAGTCTATTTTTCAATTGTGCATTTTTCATTTGGAATAAAGAATATAGGAAAAATAGTCAAATTTACATTTAAACTATATGAGATTATTTAGATTTGTGCTCCACTAATTATTGGGATCGAATCTATCCTTGCAATTATAAAATTGGACTTGATTTGCCTTTATTGATTGATGGCAGAAGCTTAGTCACTAATAAGAATGTTTAGCACCTTGTGATGCCACGTGTCCAACACGTGAGCCTTTTTATAAAGGGAAGGGGTTAAGTTAGTCCTTGAACCATGCAAAATGGTCTAAATTTGTCCTTGAATTTTGAAGAACAAGTTCAATCTTTCGGTGGCAGCCCCGTTATCGATATCTTATTTGACATTCAAAACCTCCATTAGCAATTGCACAACTCAGGCCAAATGGAACTCAAACAATAGTCAATGCACCACCAAGCTAAATTGAATTCATGCCTCTATTAGAACTCCATTAACACAATTCATCATCAATCTTTCTGTGATCACCAATAGTGACGCCAGAGCTCCATATCGACTTCTAATGCTAAAACTTTCTAGGTACAAAGAATTTAACTCCTAAATTATTTAAAATAGTATTGTGACTGTAAAAGTGGCTTATAATGGTTGAAGATCCGTGGTCTTCTAGCAGAAGTAAATAGTGATCGAGAAAAATAGTACTAATAAAAATGTGGAGAGACGTCTGAATGGAAGGTTTTGTCTGAAACCTATGTGTGTTAATTCTTTTTGTCTGTGTCGTGGAGGTAAAATGTAGGTGGAGTAATGATCTTCAATTAGTTCTTTTAGAGGAAAGACAATCAATTGTTATGGTGGTGATCGATTTAGAAAAATGAAGGATGGTGGCTGAGAAAAATGATGGTCAGTTTTGGACTATTTAAGAAAATGTAGGGATAAATTTGTACAATTTCAAAAAGTTTAAGTTTAATTATTTTTTCTTAAAAGAGGCTCACGTGTTGGACATTTTGCATCACTAAGTATTATCACGAAAGACGGGTTTTATTTGTTTGCACTTAATGGAGGTATGAATCTTAATCATTCAGATTTCAGAAATTAAGTGCGCTTGTTTTAAAGTCTGAATCTTAATTATTCAGTTCTTAATCGTTAAGTGTGTTTATTTTTTACTTAACAACCACTTAATGTGTCTACATAAGTCTGTATCATTAAGATTTATAACAGAGACTTAATTTCATTAAGATGATATTACTCATATTCATTATTAACCGCCTACCATTATCAACTAACACCACGCCACCCACCACCACTATACTCAACCACCACCACCATCATCCTCAATAATAGCCGCACCATTATCGATTACCACCACCCACCATCCCCACCATTCCTACCACCATCATTCTCTATGACAACCAACACTCATCCACCTCAACTACCACAACTAACGACCCCATCACCATCAACAACAATAGCTGGTACTGCCAATCATTATAAACTACCACCACTCACCACCATCTTCCTCAATAACAACTACCACGACTACCACGCGCCATTATTAAGTATCACCACCCACCACCACCATCCTCAATCATAATTGTTACTACTACTAATCACCACTTGTTACTACCTTAAACTACCACCATCAACCAAATCTACCACCAACCACTACTTTTAGTCGCCATTCACAAGCACTACTGTTAGTCATTACCACCAACAACTATCATATTTTAAAAAACTATATATTTTATTGATGGAATATTAGATTTATTAGTATTTTATTTGAATTTTATGTTTATTAATTTTCAAATAAAGGTAAATTCTATAAATTCAGATACTAATAATCAAACAGTCTTAATCATTTAGTATTCAGATCTTAATACACATCTTAGCATTCAGATGTATATTCAGATTCAGATACCTTTATCTTAATACACATCTTGATATTCAAACATCTTAATCTCATTAAAAAAAAAAAAAAAAAAAAAAAGAGGCGCCTCTGCCATTTGTCAATAACGATAAATCTAGCTTATTTTGTAACGGCAAAGGTAGATTTGATACCAAATATTAACGGATGACAAATCTAGATCATTTTATATAGTTCAAGGTCAAATTTGAAGTTTTTTCCCAACAATATGTCATGCTTATACATTTACTTCTTGAGCTCAACTGTTTTAAGAAAACTTTTTTTGAATATTCGACATCAACTGCTTTTTTCTTTTTACTATCTTCTTCTGCATAGATGTCTGATGTCTCCATAATTTTCTGCGCAGGACACCAAAAAAAAAAGTACATTTGCGTGTGAACAAATTAAAGTTTTATTTCTGTCACGATTCAAAATTTCCACCTACGGGACCGTGATGGCGCCTAACATTTCACTTGCTAAGCAAGCCAGCGTTAGAACAATTTATCCATTTTTAACAGTTCAAATTAAATGATAAGAAAGAAACTAAAATAACTTTAATAATCTGAAGTAAAGTACAGAAGTCATAACAACTAAAATATCAGATACAATCCTGGACCCGGCGTCACAAGTGCACGAGCTACTAGAATAGTACAAATAAAGGTCTTGATAAAATATAAAGCTATCTGAGGGAAAAATACACAACTAATAAAAAGAAAAGGGGACTCTAGGAGCTGCGGACGATGAGCAGCTGTACCTCAAGTCCCCACAAGCTCGTCAACCCGAGCACGCTAATAATTAACAACCGTTGAGACCGACTCCAAACTCTGCACAAGAAGTGCAGAGTGTAGTTTGAGTACAACCGACCCCATGTACTATGTAAGTACCGAGCCTAACCTCAACGAAGTAGTGATGAGGCTAAGGCAGGTCAGTTACACTATAACCTGTACGCAGTATATAATAAAGACAGGAGAAGAAAATGCGGAACAAAATAAGAGAGTTAACTAAAAGAATAGCTGAATCCTCAAAGAAAATGACTATCAAAATTACCAATTCTTAGAGTTTCGTATGAAAATACCGAAAACCAATACAACTCAAGAAAATAGAAACACATAGATTGTTGAGGCGCGCAACCCGATCCCACCGTACAATATAATTCTCCCTTATTCCACCGTAACAATATCAACAATCATAAATAAATATATGTTGCGCCTTGCAACCGATCCCACCATATAAAAAAATCAATATCACAATTCACCCTTATCTCACCGTACCAATCCACCTTTATTTCACCTGTTGCGGCGTGCAACCCGATCCCACCATATCAGTACAAGTTCACTCTTATTCCACCATATCAATCCAACCTTATTTCACATGTTGCGGCATACAACACGATCCCACCATATCAGTATCAAATATTCAAAACGTACAATCAAAACAATAACTCAAATCACAAGAACCTCTACGATTGACGAATATGAAGCTGAATTAGAAAGAAAGCCTCGTACCAAATTGAGAAATCACATATGAAATATTACACGGTAAGACAAGTCCGGTAAATAACAATTAAAAGGTACAAGTTAGTCAATTAAGGCAATAACAGCGAGTCATGCATGAAAAGGTCTAACATTTTTAATAGGAGAAATAATAATTAACAAGTAGTAAATAAAGCATGGGAGGCATTTAGAGCACATAACAGTTAAGGCATGGAAGGAAATTATTAAGGAAAAGCGAAAAAATCAGAGAATCAAGTAATTCGGCGGTCATAGCACATAGCCAGAGGGTTCCTAGTTCCCTCAAATCAAGGTTAAACTCAACACTTAACTCACTGATTCACTCCACAGTCAACTCAGAGCTCCACCGGGGCCTTTCTACTGGAATCCGCCTCCAAATCACTCGTATCTAACCACAATTGACTCAATAATGTCAAATATTTTTAAAGGAATCAATTACAATACATAAATTTAGGATTTCCACACTTTTGTCCAAAAAGTCAAAAATCGACCTCGGGCCCGCTTGGTCAAAACACGAGGTTCAGACCAAAACCCATTTACGCATTCACCCCCGAGCCCGATTATTTAATTAGTTTCAAAATCTGACCTTAAATTGAGGTCTAAATCCCTAATTTGCAAAAAAACCCCAATTTTTCCTAAATCCCTAGTTTTCTACCATGGAAGATCAAAAATTAGGGCAAGAAATTAATGGGTGATGTTAGAAATGGAAGAAAATGAGTAAAAGTATACAAACCTA